TAGCGCATCAGCAACATAGGCATTAACTGGAGGAAGCAAGCTGAGATGTCATCAAGCATTTGATCATCTGTTTTAATATTCTTTTCAAAAGTGAAGCTTTACCTCATTTACTAATTTCTGAAGCCACTTGAAGTGCATGGTATGTTTGCCTTTAGTAAATCAACTCCATTGTGACAGTCAAAACTGTAAAGTGACATAAAACAACTGCTGGGTTTTTACTAGCTAGGGGAGATGCATTAACTGATGTTCACTGGTCTCCCTCCCCTCTACATGGGAACACATATAGATCTCCACCCTGCAGATGACATAGCCCAGAAAACATGGCAAGTAGTGCATGCTCCAGGGATCTGTGAAAGTTATCTGGCAGGTGTACTGTGAAACTCAAAACACATAGCTGAGAGTCTGTGTAAAACCCCCCACTACTATCGATGGATGACATGCATCAGTTGCAGTAAAAGGGTTAAATCCTTAAAGCAGAACTAAATCTTTATATCATTTACAGCCAGGGAAACTGCCATCTTAGCTTTTGTTTGATCTGCAGTTGCCACGGTGCTGCTCGTGTGATCAGTTATATCACCAGCTGTTTGATGACTTGATAGTAGGGTTGAGAGTACAAACAGCTGTGACAGTTATTGTTCAAGGCATGCTTTGAAATGTTACTGTTTTGGAAAAACATTAAATTGATAGGTTTAGTTCTGCTTTTAAGCTCTTGCAACTGCATGTCGCCTATGGACCTGAGCAAAAGTTTACTGCTCTGCTAATAGGCCTAGTGGTTCAGCTGAAACTTTGTGTCCTAGAATAATATCAAAGGCTTGCTTTTAGTGATACTTGCCATTAAACATTTTATTTTCTATGCAATCTATAGACAAATAGGAAATAACAAAACCAAAAAAAAACCACTTTTTTAATTCTTTGACCATTGTTCATTTTTTAAACAGCTAATGTTACTGTAGATGCAAAGTTATTTACAAATAACAGACTTTTTATATTCATGTGAAACAATATTTTAAAAGTGTAAATAGTATTAGTGGATAAAAAATATAGAAATAACAAAAATTGCCAAATAATGGCTAAAGGGAGTTAAAAGGGCTGATTAGAGCTGAGGGATAACAAGGGGTTTAATAGGCACAGGTTTTATTTATCTTTCTTGGTAGAATAGTGAAAGTGATATATGCATATCAAAGGTGACTTGAGTGATTTCTTTTTTTAAAGGATGGCTAGTTACTGGGCAAGAGTTTTTTTTTTTTTTTTTTTTTTTTTTTTTCAGGTGCCCTATTCAAGTCTATTGGGGGCTAAAACTTGCTACTCTACTCCACAAAAAATGTGGTACTTTTTGGAGGGATGAGCTTCCAGCAACTCTATGTTCAGGTGTGACTGGACACCACTGAATATAATAGAAACCCTAGTGTTATGCGTTGAAGAGTTTCTGCGATAGCTTCAAATTGCGCTTCAAATCGCTCAGGTGGTAATGAGGCCTGACGCTTCTGAACACTCAGAAAATGTCAGGCAGTGGGTAAAAGACTAGTTACTTTTATTGTCAGTGGTTTCCCAACAGCTTATCTATTCCCTATTATTGAATTGCCTTGCCTGTATGGGATGGCCTTCTTGGTCAGGGAAGGATTTGCTATCTCATGTCAGAGCCTCCGGCAAGGAAAACAGAGCATCACAGTAGTAGTATCACCAAATCTCACTTCAAATCTCCTAGCAGTCAGAAGTGCCTTAGGTCTCATACTGCAGATATACATGTATAAGACTGTATGCACAGGAGTGCACTGGCACATTCCAACACCAGTGCACTGCTATTTAGGGGGAAGTCTAGAAAAAGGTAGGTTTTTTTCAGGGTACTGCTTAGGTACAATTAACATTTTTAGTTGTTTCCTAGAGGATGGCAAATCCTAATTTCTTAACTGCAGTGCAGTTGAATCAAGGCTGTAAAAGCAGTTCATTACAATTCTAGTAAAATAAAACTTGCTAATAATAATGTCCTTGGACCATGGTGTCTTGTAGGCAAAAGGTGGTTCACAGATTCTGCTGTGGTACAGCCAATGTACTCCGAACCTTGTGAAAGGGAAAGAGTGAGTAGGGGGGTCACCAAATATCAGCTCCGCACCTGCTGAGAAAATAAGTGAAACATCTCTGAGATGTGTATGTGTTTTTCCTTTTAAAACTATTGTTTATTTACTAAAATCGCTGCCGCTCCAGCCAAAAAAACACATTTGCTTCATGACTTTTGTTCATATACTGCATTCCATTTTCTTCAGTTTTTTATTTATTACTTTTGCTCAAATGTGTTGGCTGTGGCTGCAATTCATGTTCCAAATACTAATAACTAAACATCCTAGCATATTACTTATGCCCAACAATATTTGTTATTTGTTATTGAACAATATGTCATGAAAAAATAAATGTCCTAACATATTGCAATTCCCAAAATATTATTTCTGACAAAGATCTGTGAATCTCTCGCCTTCAATTTTCCAAATATTTTACATTCAATAACACACTTTCAGCTGGTGTAACACTGGCTCATAAGAATGTGAATAGGGGGAGAGATAGCTACCTTATCCAACTATAAAAAGAAATAATAACTGTACTATTAATAAGCCAGGACACCATCTATTGTGATGTGTAATGTTCCACAGAACTGTATAACCAGATGAGGAGGAAATACACCAGCAGCAAATTAAAAAGAGGAAAGCGTAGGAAGGAAAACAAAAGTAGCAAATATAAAAAAGAAGAAAGAAAAAAGCAAAACCTTCCAGATTGTCTGTCTGGGTACAAAAGAATCAAACTCTATTGAGTACTGAAAGTAAGACCAGGGTAAGTCTGTCATATTGTGTTAATACGCGGTGCATACTAGCACATTATGATATTATTCTGTAAGAGCCAATTTTTCTTATTGAGGTTTACTACCACTTTAAAATGTGTTTTGTTGCATTGACAATTTTATCAATTGATAAGCGAATTACAAACTATTTAGCACAGCGGCAGAACAACTGCTACTTCTATACAGTGGATATAAAAAGTCAGGTTTTTGAGATGTAAAAAAAAATCAGAACACGATAAATCACTTATTTTTTCCACTGTTAATGTGACCTGTAATCTGTGTAATTCAATTAAAAAAACAAACTGAAATTGTTTGTGTGGGGAAAAAAATGGCTACATAAGTGTACACACTCTTATAAATAGGGATGTGGCTGTGTTCAGAATTAACCAATCACATTCAATCTGATGTTAAGTAGTAATCAGTACACACCTGCCAGCAATGAAAGTTGTTCTGATTAAGCCCATAGTTAATTAAGTTTAGCTGTTCTAGTAAGATTTTTTTTTTTGACATTTACTCAGTTTCCTCTTACATCAAAGCCATGGGCCGCAAAGAGCTTAGAAAGAAAAGGGTTCTCACTGTTGAAAGATATCAGTCAGGAAAAGAGTGCAAACAATGTTCCAAGGCATTAGATAGACCATAGAACATAGGAAAGCAGGTCATCACCAAGTGGAAAAAGAATGGCACAACAATAACATTACCAAGAACTGGAAGTTCCTTCAAAATTGATAAAAGGAAAAGTAAACTGGTCCAGAAGGCTGGCAAGAGGCCTATAGCAAGGCCTAAAGGAGTTGCAAGAATTTGTGGTAGGTACTGGTTGTGTACTACATGTGACAACACTCTCTCATATTCTTCATATGTCTGGGCTGTGGGGTAGAGTGGCAAGACAGAATCCTTTTCTTGCTAAGGAAAACATTGAAGCTCGGCTATGTTTTGCAAACAACGACATCAAATTTTCCAAAAGCATGTGGGAAAATGGGTTATGGTCTGGTGAGACCGAGACTGAACTTTTTGGCCATAATTCCAAAAAGTATGTTTGATTGAAACTCAACACTGCACCTCACCAAAAAAAAACACTATACCCACAGTGAAGGTGGAGGGACTTACAAACAATTCCAAATAAGAGTTAATTCTGTCAAAACCTTCAGGCATCTGCAAAAAAATAATCTGAAAATGAAGAGGAATTTCACCATTCAGCATGACAATGGCCCAAATCATACCTCCAAATCCACAAAAATTGGCTTCACCAGGAGATCAATGTTTTGGAATATCCCAGCCAGAGCCTAGACCTGAATCGAATTGAAAATCTGTAGAGTGCCCTAAAGAGGGCTGTGCACAGGAGATTACCGATGCAATCTGACAAATATTGAGCACTTTTGCAAGGAAGAGTGAGCAAAAATTCCCAAGGCAAGATGTGACATGCTCATTCTATCCCAAAAGACTGAATGCTGTCATAAAATCAAAAGGCTGTTCAACAAAGTATTCGTTTAAGGACGTGCATATTTATGCAACCATATTATTGCAGGTTTTTTTTTAAATATATATTTTTTCTCTTTAAAGATATCAGTTTCTTTTTAATTGAATTACACATTACAATTATAAGAGCGTGTGTACACTTATGCAGCATCATTGTTATTTATTTCCTCCCCACTAAACAGTTTGTTTGTTTGTTTTTTAATTTGAATTGTACAGATTGCAGGTCACATTAAGGCTTCGGTCACACCAAATCCAACTTTGAAATCATGTGACTTCACTTGAATGGACACGATTTCAAAATCAGATGTCAGTGCGACTTCAAGTGCAACTTGGAAGATATCTGTGCATCTTCATGGACAGATGTCTATGCAAGTCACACCTGAACATACAAAAAGTAGTCCATGAACTACTGTAAATCGATGCGACTCCGACTGAGATTTGACCGCTTCCATTGTGGACAATAGGGTGCAAAATTCAGAAGCAATTTATCTTGGTCTAATTTTTTACATCTCAAAAACCTGGTGTTTTTACAGGGGTGTGTGGACTTTTTATATCCACTGTACTTTCCTAACTTATTAAAGTTACATGACAAAAAGGGATTGTATTTGAACATCAAGCACAAGGGTTATTGGGTTTTATCTCACAGGGTTTTTTTTTTTTTTTATCACTTTTAGGTCAGCCTGGGAAGCTCCTCTACATTATGCACAGTTCAGAACACCCTCTCAGTACATTTTCTTTGTTTGAGAATGGACCTTGCTTAGTTGCAGACCAAAACTTTGACGTACTTATGATTAAATTAAAAGGATTCTTTCAAAATGCAAAGGCAAACAAGATGGAGACAAGGGGTACACGCTACCAGTATTGTGATTTCCTTGTCAAGATTGGTACAGTCACTATGGGACAGAGCGGTCGAGGAATATCTGTGGAGGTAAGGTCATTTGAATTTCTACTATTGAAAGACTTTTTCTGTGCCATCAAATAAGGATGCTACAAAAGAAGTTAGTTTGACAAGCTAAATAATCCTATTTAAACAGTATAATGTCATTGTTTCTAGTGTAGCTACACTCTTGTAGTTGGTGATAGGGCTACTGTAATTCTTGCAGCGTGAGACTAAGCAGACATCACTGAACACAGATGTGCATCCAGAATTTGTAAACCCCATCATACGGTATGTCTGCTTACATCTGCTGCTATCCTGGGAGAGAACTAGAAAATGAAAGTTGAAACATTGATACACACTTGTGCTGAAGTACATGGTATTTGAATGGAAAGCAGATGTGTAGCTTAGCGTTTGTCTGATGTACTAAGCCAATCGTCAAAATAAAATGTTTGCTGAACGTCTTGTGTACATGGTTGAAATTTAGCAATTTCCACAGAACCATAATACTACTGAAGTGGCCAATTTAACTGTGTAAACTAATTTAAGTACTGTTTGTATAATATGTTATTTCAGAGACTAGAGCAGTTGTCCTCCAGAGGAAGACTATAAAGTGAAATTCATTTTGATTGTCTTCTGCTCCCTTTCTGTGCTTGCTCTGACAGGGAGCAAAACATTTCTCCTGTAAACACTCACTCTGGAACTTGATATTGAAAAGATGACATTTACTGTGAAATATAAATTATAGAATTCTGATCTAACTCTCTAGCAGCCCTGGTCTCCACTGATCAACTTGCTGTTCCGCAAAGGTTTATGGCTCCAGTGCTTTCAATTGCTCATAATATTCTTTTGGCAAATAAACAGGGCAAAAAAAATCAAATATAGAAAAGTCTTAATACTACCTTTCTACTGACCCTTTTAGGCTTCCAACAACCTCATGGGATTGTCAATTTTTGCTGCGTTTGTATGTTTATAAAGGAAAGGGGGCATAGACATCACACATTTTACTAATTAAGATTATTTTTAAAAGCATGAGGACTTGTATAGGAACAAAATGACAAAAGTGCTAGTCGCTATTTAATCCGAGTGAGAGGCTCAAATCAAGAATCCCACTTTAGGTCAGTAACAGAGAAGGAGGCAGAGGGTAGTCAGAAGCAAGCTGAGGTCGGTATCCAAAATCTACAGAGCATGGTCAGGAACAAGCCAGGTCAACAAAGGGAGAGCAGTCAGCAAAAGCAGGAGCACTGGAACACAGATCACAGGGATGCTGAAGAACATCCAGCAAGTAGAACACACCAGGGCTTCCTTTAACCTCTTTGCGATAGTACGCATATATGTGGCCTCTAGGTGAGTGGGCCTTGATGTCGAGAGGCCACATACAGTGGGGCAAAAAAGTATTTAGTCAGCCACCAATTGTGCAAGTTCTCCCACTTAAAAAAGATGAGAGAGGCCTGTAATTGGCATCATAGATAGACCTCAACTATGAGAAACAAAATGAGAAAAAAAATCCAGACAATCACATTGGCTGATTTGGAAAGAATTTATTTGCAAATTATGGTGGAAAATAAGTATTTGGTCACCTACAAACAAGCAAGATTTCTGGCTCTCACAGACCTGTACCTTCTTCTTTAAGAGGCTCCTCTGTCGTGCACTCATTACCTGTGTCAATGGAACCTGTTTGAGGTTGTGGACAGGTGTCTTTTATACTGATAACAAGTTCAAACAGTCACACTCCAAACTCCACTATGGTGAAGACCAAAGAGCTGTCCAAGGACACCAGAAACAAAATTGTAGACCTGCACCAGGCTGGGAAGACTGAATCTGCAATAGGCAAGCAGCTGGGTGTGAACAAATCAACTGTGGGAGCAATAATTAGAAAATGGAAGACATACAAGACCACTGATAATCTCCCTCGATCTGGGGCTCCACGCAAGATCTCACCCCATGGGGTCAAAATGATCACAAGAACGGTGTGAGCAAAAATCCCAGGACCACATGGGGGGACCTAGTGAATGACCTGCAGAGAGCTGGGACCAACGTAACAAAGGCTACCATCAGTAACACACTACGCCGTGAGGGACTCAGATCCTGCAGTGCCAGACGTGTCCCCTTGCTTAAGCCAGTACATGTCCGGGCCCGTCTGAAGTTTGCTAGAGAGCATTTGGATGATCCAGAAGAGGATTGGGAGAATGTCATATGGTCAGATGAAACCAAAATAGAACTGTTTGGTAGAAACACAACTTGTCGTGTTTGGAGGGGAGAGAATGCTGAGTTGCATCCAAAGAACACCATACCTACTGTGAAGCATGGGGGTGGCAACATCATGCTTTGGGGCTGTTTCTCCGCAAAGGGACCAGGACGACTGATCCATGTACAGGACAGAATGAATGGGGCCATGTATCATGAGATTTTGAGTGCAAACCTCCTTCCATCAGCAAGGGCATTGAAGATGAAATGTGGCTGGGTCTTCCAACATGATAATGATCCCAAACATACCTCCCAGGCAACGAAGGAGTGGCTTTGTAAGAAGCATTTCAAGGTCCTGGAGTGGCCTAGCCAGTCTCCAGATCTCAACCCCATAGAAAACCTTTGGAGGGAGTTGAAAGTCTGTGTTGCCCAGCGACAGCCCCAAAACATCATTGCTCTAGAGGAGATCTGCATGGAGGAATGGGCCAACATACCAGCAACAGTGTGTGCCAACCTTGTGCAGGAAACGTTTGACCTCTGTCATTGCCAACAAAGGATATATAACAAAATATTGAGATGAACTTTTGATATTGACCAAATACTTATTTTCCACCATAATTTGCAAATAAATTCTTTCCAAATCAGCCAATGTGATTGTCTGGATTCTTTTTCTCATTTTGTCTCTCATAGTTGAGGTCTACCTATGATGCCAATTACAGGCCTCTCTCATCTTTTTAAGTGGGAGACCTTGCACAATTGGTGGCCGACTAAATACTTTTTTGCCCCACTGTATGTGTGTACCAAAATGTAAAGAAAGCTGTGCCGAAAGTGCGTGCCTTGCGCCTAACGGAACCAGTGCCTAACGGAAAGCTCCCTATCATGTGAAAACTGAAATGTAGTGTGTAGAGGTAATTATCTATATTTAGGATATTCAGTCTGGTTACATCAAAAGAGAATGGCACCAAGAAGCCATATAGTGTAGTAAGTACGTTTATTAAAATTGTGAATGAAAATTGTGAGTTTATGCACTCACAGGTGTAAATCAGTCAGGGCATATCACTAAGTGACACAGTGCGGGACATAGATAGATAGATGAATCAGCTGGATATGTAGAATGTTTCTCTGCAGTGCAGAGCCGCTGGAGTCGCCTGAAAACCAGGAGCTGCTGGGACTAATGTAGGCCAAAGATGGGGAGAAAACCGGCTGGTTTTTTAATGAAAAACAAAAAATCGGTCGTTCAATAGGCCGATGTTACCACCAACAGTAAAAAAAAAATTGGCCGATTTTCTTCCCGTCTACGGCCGGCATTTAATTACTTCTGTCTCTGCAGAGAGCTCCGCTATTATATTTAACATTAAAAAGTATTGCGGTTGCAACATTGTATCTATTTGTATCCATTTCGGATACAAATGGTTTTTGGATACAAATAGATACATTGTTGCAACCGCAATACTTTTTCATTTCAAATATAATAGCGGACTGGAATTCATTCTTTCTTTCTCTTCTTCTTTCTTTCTCCTCTTTCTTCTCTTCCTCTTTCTTCTTCCTCCTCTTCTTCTTCCTTTTATTCTTCCCCCTCCTCTTCCTCTTCCCCCTCCTCTTCCCCCTCTTCTTCCTCCTCTTCTTTTTTTTTTGCAGATTTTTGTTAACGATAAAAAGATCGGCCGATTTGCCCATCATTGCCGCGAAAATCGGCCGATTTTCTTTTCCAACTTTATCGATCAAAAAAATCTGACAAAATCCAGAAAAACGACCGACCAATTAACCCATTAACGGTGCGAAAATCAGCCGATTTTTTTTTTTTTTTTTTTTTTTTTTTTTTTTTTTTTTGGCTGAAAAATCGGCCGATGTTCGACCCATCTATGGCCTGCGTAAGACTACTGTGATCCGCCATCAGTGGAAGGAATGCCTGCACAAACACTGCCCTGAATTTAGTGGAATCACAAGGAATGCTGGAAACATGTTTTGGGAGACAGCACGCTCCCATCATTGGCCTAATCTGACAGCTATCCTCTAGGGAATAAATAGCAACAACCGCTAATTAACATTAACCCTTAATGGACCAAAAAAAAACAGCTTTGTATACTGAAAATTACTTCTGGGAAACTGCAATAAAACTAGTAACAATGTACCGGATCAAAAGATTAGGTAAATTTGTAAATAATATGTATATACTATATGTAAATAATTATTGTAAGGATAAAAAAATCTATCCTATTATTATTATTATTAATATTATTATCATCAACCATTTTATGTTAAAAGGATATAGTACATACTAAGGCAAGTACCTAAAGGATGATCACAAAAATCATTAGATTAATTATGTTTATTCAAAGTTTTTGGTTTTAAACCGTGATCACCAAAACAAAATAATTTGAATAATCATTATTCTAATTATTTTCCTGGCTTAATGGCAGCTTCAGTGGCTCTGCACTGCGGAGAAACATCCTGCTTATCCAGCCGATTCATCTTTCCATCTATACCCTGGACTGTGCCACGATATGCCCTGACTGATTTACACCTCTGAGTGCATAAACTCTGTTTTTATTCACAATTTTATTATACTAACTTGCTACACTATATGGTTTCTTGATGCCATTCTCTGTTTGTTTACAAATGCCAGCTTCTCCAGCCTGAATCTGAGGAGGCAGCCTTGAGTCAGCCAATCTTGGTGTTCCTTGTCTAGTTTTTAGCAAAACCTCCGGGAATCTGTTTTCATGCTTGCTATTGTTTTCCAGTTTACCACTGCTTCTGTTCTGATTCATTTTCATTTAATTTGAGCTACATTGTTGCCATTAGTGAGTTCTGATTTGACTCCCACACAATACTGAATCTATGATTCCTCTGTGTCTACTGTTTTCCTTTACAGAGCTTTTTTCCCCCCACCATTTGCTATAGCTTGGTTGTGGTTGTGCTCTTTGTGCAGTTTTTTCTGTTTTTGCTTACCTGGTTACATCATAACATTTCCCTTTCTGATGCACTAAAACAGTTAATTTTAAATTTAATTTTTTTATACTCCCTAACTCACATTTATCATATGTGCAGATGGCTCTTATGTATAGCATGCTTAGCTCTGATAAAGGGGGAATTGGTGAAACCTTCAAAACACTGTTTTGGTGCTCTTTTCTCACTTCTGTACTTATGTCTGACTTTCTGGGAACCAATCTGGGCCCCTGGTCTCTAGAGAGCGTTTTCTAACAGAGTCCAATGTTCCGTCAACCCTTTGTCAGCTTAAACTAAATACTTATTTAAAATGGAGTTCTGGCGCCCCCTCCCAAAAATTAAAAGTCAGCAGCTACAAATACTGTAGCTGCTGACTTTTAATATTGCCATCTTGACTAAGGGAACTGGCGCTGCTTCACAGTCGGCTTCCTTCTGCATTTATGTGTGAAGCGTGACTTACTTCCAAAGGAAGTGGGAGCAGGTACCTTTCAAAACCAGGTACCCCTTCCCCCCCAAAAGGTGCCAAGTGTGGCAGCAGAGGGGGAGGCAGATAATTGGAGCTTCAACTTTTGGGTGGAACTCCTGCTTTATTGTGAGCTTCAGATCCATCCAAGTGCCTTATTTTCCTGATTCACCTTATTCTGTATGCATGAAAAACATTTGACCTGGAGAGAAAATAGCCTAATCCCATTTATTTTTGCCAAATTCACACAAAGTACATGCAGGACAAATAGCTCTGCGAAAAAAAGAAGGATTTGGACTTTTTTCCACTAGGAAAATTTAGCCATTTTTACTAGCCATTATTTATTTTTCTTTTTATTAGGATATTTTTCTTCACTTAAAGCGATAGTAGATTCATTACAAAAAGAGTCCAGTCCCCTTGCAAGGTAATATTATAATGTGCTAGAATGCACTGAATACTAACACATTATGCAGACTTGCCTTAAAATGAAGGCCTCCAGTGGTGCCCTGTTGCCGCTGACAGGGCTTCAATCTTCACCCGGTCTTCTTTCCGGGTTTAGGCTCAGCACGTTTGAATGGGAAAACCGTGATGACACCACGGCTGCGGCACAGAGCTCTGAAAGGAGCGACATGAGTATTCCCCTATAGAACGTATGCACCGTGACGTCACCGGCAGCCAAATTTGTGAATATCTCCAAAACTGTGCACATTTAGGACCAGTTCACACCACAAAAACACACTCCGGATACATTCTGTATACATTTTTGCTTACACTTCACATCACATACAGTTCTGGTGCAGTTTGCTATGTTCCAGTATAGTTCTGTGCAGAAAAAATACAGCATGTTCAACTTTTTTTTTTCTGCACTGGAAACTGACTGGAACTGACTGCACTGGTGTGAACTAGGGGCATTGGACTGCATGGAAAACACTGTACATGTATTTTTGATGCAGAAAAAAAGTGCACTGAACTGCATCTAGTGTGAACTAGCCCTTAGGACATATTCCTTTTACCTGCAGGTAAGCTTTATTATAAGCTTACTTGTCGGTAAAAGTCACAGAGTGGAGTTTACTACTACTGTTTTAAGTTTGTGCTATATACTGCTTGAGCTGGTCTTTTATGCAACAATCTGGCTCGGTGTATCTTCAGTAGTAGCTTTTGGAGGCTGTACCTGCACGATTGCAAGGATGCAATGTGATCTTCGGACACTGGGTTCTGCTTTGTGCTACTTTTCCAAACTTTGAGCCGTAGCATAGCCTCAGGCATGACCCTGTGTCTGAAGTACTCACTATTACCTTTTTTTTTTTTTTTGGTTCCCACAGGAATTGAGTATGTCTCTGTCTGTAGGTGGATCTTCATGCACACACTCTGTTCCTGCCATTCAACATGGGGTAGCATTTTCCCACCACTGCTCCTAATTGCAAGAGACATACGTGGTTCCACCTCAGTTAGTCCTTGCTTTGGCCTACTTTGACCTTGTCACCTTGGGTCATTTGAACCTCTCCTGCCCTAAGCAGCCAGTCTGTGAGTGCCCAAGATTTTCTGGTACCTGGAAGCTGACCTCACAGAACATCTGTGTTTTCTGCTTTTGTCCCTGAATGCACAGGGCCCTAAATGCAAGTACCATTCGTTACAGGGTTCGGCCCTGACCAGCCACAGCATATTTCAGCCTGCCGTAGACTTGGACAGGCTGCAGGGCTGAATGTTGCACCTGTTCTGCCCAGGCACACTAAAATGCCAGGTTTGCACATACTAGGCTGCCACCTCGTCTTTTGTTCACACATTTTCTACCAGGTGGACATTCAGACCTCAGCTGATGTCACCTTTTGTCTGAAAGGTCCCTCAAGCAGCTTTTCCAGGTGCAGTCATTCCCGTTTTCTGTTGTTGGGCATGTTTTTGTTTTGTTTGCTGTATTGCTCACCCCTTGGTTGCCCTACTTTTGGACATCCCAAATGTCTCTGAATCTTGTGTTCTTCATTGAACAAGAAAGAAAATATAGGATTTTTGTACTCCGCCGTGATATCATTTTCTTAGAGTTTACTAAGGAACACAGATTCAACCCTTCTGCGTTAATGGTGATTCTCTTGGCACTGCTTTGTTACAAAACTGAGGTATGCTGGGAATGGAAAGGGCTATACTAGGCTGGCGTTTTTATTTGCCAATGTCCAAATCTTTCTGTAGGCAGCAGTATAACCCACATTTCTCTAAATCATGTATCCCTCAATGGACTCCCAGTAAAGGATTTTATGGTAATTAAAAAAACTCCTATTTTTCACTGCATATTTAAGTAGACATGATACAGGATCATAATTATACCTAATCTACTATTTGGTTTTTTCCCAGGTGGATTATTGTCCCTGTGCTGTACCAGGTGACTGTTGGAACCTCATGATGGAATTTATGCAGACGTTTATGGGCAGTAATGCTCCATCTGTTCCCCCGGTTTTTAGTGCCAAACATGATGCACTTTACACACCTGGAGACACTATGATGCAGTACATGGAGCTTCTGAACAAGATCCGCAAGCAACAGCAGGGTACAGTGGCTGGCATGAGACTATGATAGGGTCTCGGGCATCTAGCTTCTATGATGGAACATGGACAGGTCTGCTATTACTCCATGCTCTTCAGTATCCTTGGATGTGTGCTAAACATCAAATTATGTTTTCCTTAAGACTGATGACTTAATGTATGAGACCTAAGAAGACCAGCTAGAACACCTGGTTAGCTGAAATAAAGCATTTGAAAAAACGTTACTGACTCGAAACCCCTTTACCACTTAGTTCTCAAATCCCTTCAACCAATTACAAAGAAATCCTATCACTAAGCATCACCAATATGAACTATGAAACTTGGTTCTTATTGACATTTTAAGTTCACGTTCTTTTGCAGGCTTTTTCATATATCTATAGTATTCTGGAATTCAGCAAAGATTTCTTAAAAGTGAAGGTAACCGTCTCTAAAATGTTGTTGATGTGGGTGTTTTTTTTTTAATTGTGGATATGACGTGTTAATGTTACAACAGTGCCAAAGTGCAGGCATCTTGTGGTGGCTGCAAGTAGCAGTGCTAATTTTCAGATTGATTTCTGTGCCTTTCTGGAGATCCCTTGGATGCTAGGCCATGGCTGTACATGAAGCCTCAGTTTCTGTTTATGTTAAGATTAAAGCCCCTTCTGTAATTGAAATGTTAAATACCAAAGATTCTTCTGCCCACTGACATTTTGGCATTTGACAGTTGAATGGAAGGAGGAGTGGCTTAATCTTAATTTGAGCAAAAGTCAAGACTCCATGTAAAGCCTTGGCCTAGGATCCAAGGATGCTCCACAAGGACCTTAGAGATCAGTTTAAAGACTTGGGCAAGTACTCTTTACTACTATTCTTACTTCTTTAACTGTTTTTAGGACAGGTCACTTAAAATACAACTGTAAGCTCTTTTTTGCCTGTCTATACAAGTACCAAATTAAGTATATTATGTGATTCACAAGCCTTCAAAAATAAACAATTACCTGACTAAGCCTGATCCCCTTTTTTCTTTTTTTGTGCCTCATGCACTTTCCCTTCCAGAAACTCTAACCTACAGTCAGAGGATTTCAGCAGCAAAATAAGCATAAGCTGGGTGGCAGGGATTTTAAGAAGGCACAATACAAAGTATTGTGTATTGTGTCCTTTTAAAATGCCTGCCACCCACCTTACACTGATTTTTATCCTACATTATGGGGGTGGGCACTGATATGATCTCACTTTACCCCATACTTTTCTTTAGTGTGGATTTCAGCAACAGAGGCAGGGTTGCCTTTCCAAAAGCTGAGGGCAGGACTAGTTATGGCCAGGTGCTGACTTGACTGGTTACAGGCATGTGAATCAGAAGTGACCATGCTGATAGCCACACCTCCTGCAAAACTTTTTGATCCCAACACAATTCATAAAATATGTTTATTTACAACCATATTGAAACCGCTTGTTACTCAAGCCAAAATATCCTATTAAAAGCAATATACAGTTAGGTCCATATATATTTGCACACAGGCATAATTCTGTATGCCACCAGAATAAATTAGAACAAAAAAATTTAAATGGATTTAAAGTGCAGACTCTCAGTTTTAATTCAAGGGGTTCAACATAAATATAAAGTATAAATTTTAAGACCTGCAACAATTTATATGCGCAGTCCCTCCATTTTCAGGGGCTCAAATGTAATTGGACAAATGAATATAATCATAAATAAAATGTTCATTTTAATATTATGTTGAGAATCCTTTACTGGCAATGACTGCCTGAAGTCAGGAACCCATGGACATTACCAAAGACTGGGTTTCCTCCTTTCTGATGCTTTGTCAGGCTCTAACTGCAGCGGTCTTCAGTTGTTCTTTGGGGGTCTTTCTGCCTTTAGTTTTGCCTTCAGCAAGTGAAATGCATTCTCAATTGGGTTGAGCTCAGTTGATTGACTCGGCCATTGCAGAATATTTCACTTCTTTTCCTTCAAAGCTCCTGGGTTCTTTTGCAGTGTGTTTTGGATCATTGTCCATCTGTACTGTGAAGTGCTGTCCAATCAACTTTGCTGCATTTGGCTGTATCTGGGCTGACAGTACTTCTCTAAACACTGCAGAATTAATCCGGCTTCTTCTGCCTTCTGTCACATCATCAATAAACACCAATGACCCAGTGCCACTGGTAGCCATGCAAGCCCATGCCATCACACTGCCTCCGCCATGTTTACAGATGACGTTGTGTGCTTTGGATCATGAGTTGTTCCAAGCCTTCTCCACTTTTTTTTTTTTTTTTTTTTTTTTTTTCCCCGTCATTCTGGTATAGATTAATGTTAGTTTCATCTGTCCAAAGAATGCTTTTCCAGAACTGGTCTGGCTTTTTTAGATGTTTTTGGCAAAGTCTAATCTGTCTTTTCTATTCTTCAGGCTTATGAATGGTTTGCACCTTGTGGTGAACCCTCTGTATTTGCTATTGTGAAGCCTTCTCTTGATTTTAGACTTTGACAATGATACACCCACCTCCTGGAGAGTGCCCTTCACTTGTCTGGATGTTGTGAATGGGTTTTTCTTCACCATAGAGAGGATCCTGTAATCATCCACCACTGTTGTCTTTTATGGATGTCCATGCTTTTTTATGTTGCTGAGCTCACCAGTGCATTCTTCTTTCCTTAGAATGTACCAAACTGTTGATTTTGCCACTCCTAATGTTGCTGCCATCTCTCTGATGGATTTGTTTAATTTTGCCTTACAATGGCCTCTTTCACTTGCATGGACAGCTCCTTTGAATGCATGATGTAGGTTCACAGCAATAGATCTCAATGCAAATTCCACATTTAGAATAAACACCAGACCTTTTACCTGCTTAATTGATGAAGGAATAATGGAGTAGCCCACACCTGGCCATGAAAACCGCTTTTGATTCAACTGTCCAATTACTTTTGGTCCCCTGAAAAAGGGGAGGGTGGCTAATCTTAAGAGCTGTAATTCATTAACCCTTCCTCCAATTTGGATGTACATACCCTCAAATTAAACCTGAGATTGTAAACTTTCATCCCATATCCATGATATAACTGTAGCTTGAATATGTGTTTGTAAATACTTGAAAAAATAAAATTGTGCCTATGTCCAAATATACAGTTGTGCTTAAAAGTTTACATACCCTGGCAGAAATTGTGACATTTTGGCATTGATATTGAAAATATGACTGATCATGCCAAAATTGTGCAATCATACAATTGTGGCTGCAATCTTTCTTGGTCTACCTAACCTTGGCTTGGTATCAAGAGATCCCTGAACTTTCCATTTCTTAAAAGGTGATTTAACAGTACTGATTGACATAGTCAAGACTTTGGACATCTTTATATGTCCTTTTCCATCTTTATAAAGTTCCATTACCTTGTTATGCAGTTCTTTTCTGATCCCCATGGCTCAGTATCTAGCCTAGTCCGTGCTTCCACGTAAGAGCTAACAAACTCATTGACTATACACTGACCCTAATTGCAATTTAAAAAGCCACAGATGTGGGACATTAGCCTCTAATTGGCATTTTAACCTGTGTGTTACCTTGTGTTTCTGTACCAAGGCCAAACATTCCAGGGTATGTAAACTTTTGATCATGGCAATTTGGGTGATTTCTGTTATCATTATGATTTAAAAAGGAGCCAAACAAATATTTGATAATAAATGGCTTCATATGATCATCATCCTTCAATAAAAGAGCATTTTGTGGCATGATCAGTCATATTTTCAATATCAATGCCAAAATGTCACAATTTCTGCCAGGGTATGTAAACTTTTGAGCACAATTGTATATGGACCTAACTGTACATATGATTTCATAGTGAACTTATCTGCTGACTCACTATCCACACTATTCATATATTCATACAAATGTAATTAGACCTGAATAGTCCATTAAATATGTAATTTTATGGTGCAAGCATGAGTTCTCAAGAGTCAATGGTTTTCTCTTTATTAGCTTCTTCAGGACGCATGAGACTTCAGCAATCATTAAATGTGCAAACAAACAGCAAAACCACATATAATATATAAATACAATATAACCTCAACAATAATAATAGTTAATGTGTATTCCAACGAAGTTGAAGCACCTTCTTCATGTTTCTTGGTAGCATGGGAACTCCCCTTGAGCGGGCACAAGCCAAAGAAAGGGCCGGATGGACAAAAGATGACGAAATAACTTGTCCTAATAATGTAATAATTTCACTATAAGAACAATTTCCGTGCAGATAGGTTACCATATGACATACCTCATTAACTCCCATGCAAATAGCAGCTTTTTACTGCATTTTTGATGTTGTAAACTCCTGTAGGAGGAGAAACCTTTTTTAAGCTCACATTGTACATGAGGCCTAATGTGTGCAGATGCAGCCTATATCAGATTGGCAACTCTGCTCTGAATTTAGGAGCAGTGAAACATTGTTGTCACACCGTACAGGAATTTGAATTAGGAGGACCTCACTGGCAGGATCCAAATATATTTGTGGGAATTGGCAAGGGAACTAAGAGAAAATGATGCACTTAGTATTTTTTTTTTTTTTTTTTTTTTTTTTTTTAATGGGAGGCTACAGTTCTATTTTAAAGCTGGCCATACACATTACAGTCTTATTGTACAGCCATAGATATTTCCTGATGGTGATGTTCTACCAAACATCCCATTTAGTCTCTATGCCATCTTGCAGGCCCTTGTTCTACATAGTCATGGGTTTGGTGACCTTTAAACTTTCTCTGCACATTTGGTCGGGAAGGACTGTAAAAGTAGTTTGCTTTATGAGTGATAGTAAATATTACCACTGGGTTCCAATAAGAATATTGACTGTTTCAAGCATTTGGAAATACTGCATGTGGTATCTGATTTAACATGCCTAGTTAAAAACAGTTCCTCCAAATGCTTGTGATCACTGGGCCGTTTCTTTAGATGAGCCACTGAGGTGCAGTAATTCCCTGGCTTAAACATCCCAAATTATCCAGTTTTTCTAAGGATAATTTGTATCCTTTATGTAAAAATCCAACGCATCTTGAGATGTATTCTTTCACAAAGAAATTTAGAACTATTTTGTTTCCATTTAGGCTAGAGGCACATGGGCAATTTAATTTATTGTTGCTGAAAGATATATTCACTTATTAAATTCTCATCTTATTAAAGCATATCTACACATATGCATCTTATTAAAGCAGATCTTGCAGCTTACCAGTTCCTAGATTTGAGAGCTGTATTAGTTTTTTCTTTTTTTTCATACTTATTTCCCCTTTATTTTCTCCTGGTAAACCTGTGCATAACACATTTCTGTCCCTTTTTTACCTACTGTGTTTTCTCCACTGTATCTATAAAAGTAGCCATGGCTCACACAGACACTAGTATCATCAAGGGGCAGGTCTAGGCACTTACGATTTTGTTCCAGAGACTGCTGGATTCCCATTCCCTGATCAAGACCTTTGAACAGGCTGTTTTCCATGTGGCTTGACGTGTACTCCCCCATACTTCTGCGGAATCTAAATATGGTGCTCTTGACACCTCAAAACCAAACTTTTGAACCTATTAGGGATATCCTCTTTCCACTCACGAGATTTTGTTTCTCTTCAAGGTGAGTGACTGAGCTGGCAGCCTTATCCTGTAAAGAACCATTCTTGTCTTACACAAGGAAAACGCAGTGTTGAGGCTCAGAACGTCCTTCCTTCCTAAGATCGTTTCAGGTTTTAACCTCAACCAGGACATTATAGTTCTGCTCCTCTCTCAGACTCCAGTTCATCTCTCTTCATTGCATGGATGTAATTTGTGCCATATGGGTTTTTCTTGCAGCCACTCCTAATAGAAAGGCTCACTGTGATGGTCTTTCTGAGGGTCCTTGTAAAGGAGAACCCGCTTCTCACTCCACCATTTCTCACTTTCTCAGAAACACCATCATTCAAGCCTTTGGGGAAATGTGCATGTATTAGGAAGCTGTGCTCAATATAGTTTTTTAGATTTTGCCCACACGTTCCCCTTTAATCTATTTCATGCTGTTTTTAAGAAAATATTTTAAGAAAACAAATTGAAGAAAAAAATTGTGCCTATTGACCACATATTCACTTATCTTTCCATTTTTTTTGTATTAAACTGCCTATGCAGACTGTTGTAAATATGTGAACATTTAAAGTATAAGTTCACTTAAAAAAAAAAAAAAATTAGAAATGTCCATTTTTTTGCAGATAAAAAAAAATGTGCATTTCCAATTTTCTTTGGAGCCTGAAAAGTATTGCACCAGCAGTCAGCGGATCGCTGGTGCCATGCAGGACTCCTGCAAACCTGTCCATGTATCTGTGTGCCTGTACATCAAGTGTGGGCAGGGAGATGCAGTCTGACAGGAAGACTCCATAAACTACCACAGCACTCAACACCACCATGGCAGTTAATTCAAAACTACATACCGACAGCTGCAAAGGGTGTTGAGACATGTAGTTCATTTACTCACAGAACTCTGTGAATGAATGACACAACTATGTGGCTGTAAAAAGGTGACAGCTAGTACGGGGAACTTCTTCCCGTACTGCTGTCACAGGAAGGAGGGTGATCAGGAAGCGGCGGGAACATGTTACATGCTCCACCCTAAAAACAGGTGGAACATGTTCACAAAGGTGAACTTATCCTTTTAATGTGAATATATAATTGTCCTAGCTTAATGAACATGTGTATTTTTTTTCCATAATTTCGATAGCCACCTCAGCACTCATACGTGTACACACCATATGGACCAAAGTAATTTTTATATTTCTGATGTCTTTTTTTTTTTTTTCTACAATAACTTTGTCATTACTTAGGATAACAAATTAATACATGTACTAAAACTGGAGAACTCAAAATCTGGTGCGGCTGTGCATGGTAGCCAATCATCTGCTAACCTAAGCTTGTTCAATTAAGCTTTAACCACTTGTCCTTCAGAGGATTTACCCCCCTTCCTGACCAGGCCATTTTTTGCGATACGACACTGCGTTACTTTAACTGACAATTGCATGGTCAAGCAACACTGCACCCACATGCAATTTATGCCCCTTTTTTTCCCCACAAATAGAGCTTTCTTTCAGTGGTATTTGATCGCCTGTGTGGTTTTTATATTTTGCGCTATAAACAAAAAAAAACCCATCAATTTTGAAAAATAAAACCATATTTATGACTTTTTGCTATTAAACATGTCCAGTGAAAAACATTTTTAAAAATCATATTTCTTTATAAATTTAGGACAAAATGTATTCTGCTACATGTCTTTGCTAAAAAAAAATCCCAATACGTGTAAATTAATTGGTTTACTTGAAAGTTATAGCATCTACAAATGGCGGTGTATATATACTGGAATTTTTTTTTTACTAGTAATGGCGGCGATCAGCGACTTATAGCTGGACTGCGGTGGGCATTCTGACACTGGGTGGAACTGATTTGGTGTCACTGACATCCCCAGTGACACCAATACAGTGATCAGTGCTAATAACAAGCACTGACATGGTACTAATGGCACTTGGCAGGAAGGGGTTAACATGTGGGGCGATCAGAGGGTTAGCTGTGTGCTGTGTGTGTATTTCACTATAAGCACTCTGATTTGTATGGCTGTGCTATGCAGAGCCATACAAAGCAGTGTGCAGGAGCTGACAGAAGAGATTTGTATTGTTTACATACAGGTCTCTCCCCCATTGGAAGTCTCGGAGATCACCGGGTGCCGGCGGGAAATCACGGTCGAGGCCGCGGATGACGGTGCAGGTAGGGCACGCGCCTTTCCCTACCTGTAACTGCACAGTTTGTGTGTATATATACGTGATTTTGCGCACCTGTGCCAGCCTGTTGTATTTCTGCTATAGGGCAGCGTCCACATACAGGTCTCTCCCTCATTGGAAGTATTCGGAGATCGCTGGGTGCTGGTGGGAAATTACCAGCTGGAACCCAGTGATTGGCTGACTGGCTGTGATTGACAGCAGTGTGAGTCAATACCTCCTGTAGCAATCGTGCACACAGAGATGGATGCGAACCTCCATTTTGGCAAAGGCCTCCATCTTCTATCATTTTCTACTCCCAAATTAGCTTCCCTCATCCCCCCCTCCCTCTCTGTTGAGTGACACGTGGTCCCTGGATGCTGAGTTCAAAAAGGCATCAAGGCTCAGCGGGAGAGCTCCAGGGCTATAAAATCCCAACCTAGCTGGTGCCCAGATGTCTGGTAGCTTCTCAATCTGGGATATTGTAAAGCCATAAACCAAGTCCTTCACTGAGCTCAAAGACATTCCATAAACAGTAAACCAGACATCACATTCAACATCCATTTTCACCTATGATTTCATATCTTAGATTATGAAAGACTTACATAAAAACCAGGCATATATTCAGACCGGTCACTTTAATACAAGTCGTCTGATATATTACACCCCCTAGCTGACACAAACAGGAGATCAGAAAATGATATCTCCTTAACCATCCCAGCAGGTATGTCATATTTCATATCTAGACGTTCAGCAGATGATTCTGTGCATTAATCTACCCGTCGATAGAATGTTACATGTACCTAGGAAAAGTTATTGACCATAGTATAATTTGGGAGGGATTTGGTCATAGCCTGAGCTCCCCGCCTACAACACCCCTCCCCAAATGAGGCAATTGGTTCTCTGCTTTAAGGAGACACCCTGCTGAGTTCCTAGAAAAAGGCTGTTATGCTTGGAGTTAAGCTGAGCTGAGTTGAGCTAAGTTGAAGATTCTCCCTTTTAACATTGGAACTAACTTTGGGAGATAAGGCACCCTTTTGGCTCAGGAAACTTGATCTGCTTAAACTAGGCTTTTGGCAAGTACTTTATCTCTCTAAATTCCTTTCTGTTATCTCTTTGCTGTGTTATTGCTCTATGTATATTTAGGCTACATCTTTTTCTGTAAATATTTTTATTGCACCCTTTTTGACCTTTTAGTAATAAATCTTACTTTCTGAAAGTGTTGAACTGTTTCTAAAGCTCTTTAATGCAAACTAAGAACCCCTGTCTCTCGAGCGCTACTGTGTGTGTTTAAACCTCTATATACCCTGCCTGCGGTGACAGTGGTATACAGACGATTATTCAACATCATAGTGTTATTGCTGATACTGCCGAGTTTCCTCTTTCTCTGTACAAAAAGGAGGTGGTGGCAGTGTGAAGGGTTAATTGCGTAATTAACCTGACCCAGTAACAATCACTCCCAGGCTGCAAGTACACAGATTGTGGTCCATTAGCTGGAAAATCTTTGTGCAGGGTGCAGCTGGGCGTGGCATTGTTACGCACGTGACAGCGTGGTTGTAGATTGGCTAGTCCTTCGGTCATGTGTTTGGTGAGAAGGGCTGGGGTCTGATGCCACGATCGTCACACCTCCCGCTTGCTGTCTCAGCCAATGAGGAGGCAGAGACCTGGGTCGGCCGAGCTGGTTGTGGCACATCGCTGGATCTCGATGGGGCTCACGCAAGTATTGAGGGGGCTGGGGGCACTGCTGCACACAGAAGGTTTTTTACCTTCATGCATAGGATGCATGAAGGTAAAAAACCTTCAGCCTTTTCAACCACTTTAAGTATGTCATCTGCCATGCACTTTGTTCTAGTTTTGAATGGACAGATGAGAGACTGAGACTGCTTTCAGGAATTGCAAAGTATGTACTATTATATGTTGATGGGCCTAGGAATGGGTATTGACTCCACTTGTCTCCCTAATTTACCATGCATACACAAAGGCACTGCTATACACTTAAACCTATATCCACTAATTACAGGTCACTAGACACCCATGATGAATTACTGCTGCATGTGTGATCATTGCATTATATGTCTATCTGTGCAAGGATGAGGCAGCAGTGAATTGTAATAGGCTAACTTTGTTTCAATTCTGCAAAAAAAAAAAAAATCTTTTCCTTTTGAAAATAGAATAGCAATTGGTAATGAATACCTTATTTTTTTAATATGTCATCAAAATAAACCAAATTATTACAATCACGATCTTTGCTTGTTTCTCCTAATGGAAGAAAAGATACTGTACTTTTGTTTGTGCTTTGTTATCATCTGATAGTCTGATCACTAATACTTTTTCGGATATATATTTGGGTTTTTATCTATCCTACAGTAACTTATAGAAAACTTATCTAAAAAAAAAAGTTACATAGTTGGTAGACACCAGTCCATCCAGTTCAACCTGTATGGGTGTGGGGGTGTTTGTCTCTACCATTTCCCATATTCCTATATATTGTGTTCACTAAGATGTCCATCTAAACGTTTTTTGAAATTATCGATACTCCCAACTAACACCACCAACTGTGGTCAGGAGTTCCACATCCTTACCGCTATGACAGTAAAGAACCTCCAACGCAGCTTAGGGATAAACCGCTTCTCGTCCAACTTCATTGAGTAGCCACTTGTCCTCTTAAGAAACCTGAGACTGGATTTTTTCTCCCTGCTTTGGAAAATTCATTGGTTTACGTGAAAGTTATAGCGTTTACGAATGGAGGCATATATACTGGAATTTTTTTTTTTTTTACTAGTAATAGTGGCGATCAGTGATTTATAGAGGGACTGTGGCAGGCATTCTGACACTGGGGGGAAAACTGATTTGGTGTCACTAACATCCCCAGTGACACCAATACAGCGATCAGTGCTAATAAAAAGCACTGACCTTGTTCTAATGACACTGGGCAGGAAGGGGTTAACATGTGGGGCGATCAAAGGGTTAACTGTGTGTGTGTTTTGCACTGTAAGCACACTGCTTTTTATGGCTCTGCTACGCAGAGCCTAACAAGGCAGCATGCAGGAGCTGACAGGGGAGACATCTGTGTTGTTTATACACAGGTCTCTCCCCCGTCGGTACTACTCAGGAAATCACCAGCTGGGACCCGGTCATTGACAGCTGAGGCTGCAAATGGTGGTGTGGGTAGGGCATGCGTGCTCCCCCTACCCAGAAATGCAAAAATCACATATATATATATATATATATGATATATGTGATTTTGCGCACCCGTGGTGCCCTGTAGCAGTATTTTTGCTATAGGGCAGCACAGAAGCGGTTAAAAAGGGTATATAAAACTATAAATCTACAATTTTACAAAACTGTAAATGTTGAAGTAGACCTTGAAGTAAAATAAAGGGGATATTGCAAAATGATGCCAGTGCACAGTCTGGAGGCTCTTCTCGTGAAATTTTAGGCACTTTGTATTTCCCAGGGATCTTTCTGAAAGATGGTGACATCATCCATATCTTTTTTAACAGTCATCTTGTTTACAATAAGAAAGGGGACATTTGTGGAGCAGAGGGGAGGAGGGTTTGAGAGGAGGTAGTTAACAAAAAAAAAAAAATATCCCCTTTTCTCTTACGTATATTGATGGACACAGACTCTCTTTTAAATCTTGACCGGACAGGGACATCCCAAAGCAGTGCCACATCAAGGGGTGGGCAAACAAATCAAAAGAACATCTGCACAAACATACCTACACCTAGAAGCACCCCCAAGGGGCCCACGAGAACCCTTTAAAGCAGATAGCTAAAACTGTGTGGCCAAACCTAGGATCCGAGGATGACAAATACATCAACCACATAGTAAATTGTAAAATTGTGCACAATCAGGTTGTCATCTTGCAAACTGGCGCAACAGACACCATGTCAGATGCCCAGGAGGCACTAACTGCTGTGGTGGAGTGAGCCGTACAGGGAAAGGAGGCTCCCACCCCTTATTGGCATATGCCTGATCAATCATCTGCCAAATTCAATGGAAGATAGTGGCAGAAGAGACCACCATGCCTTTCCTTGGACTGTCCGTGAGCACAAAAAAAAAGTCGGACCTCCAAAAGGTGGCCATCATGTATAAGTATAGTCAAACCACTTGGACCACGTCCAAAGAATGCAAAGCCACCTTCTTAGGGTGCGAAGGTCAAGGACACAATGAAGAACAATGTCCTCATTCAGATGTAAATCCGACACCACCTTTCCAAAGGAAAGAAAGAAATGGACGAAAAACCACCTATGCTTGTGCAAAATCAGATAGGGAGGCATATGGGACAAAGCTGCCAATGCCAACATCTGCTGAGGAGAAGTGCTAACAATCAGGAAGACAAATTCCTGAAAGAATTAGGCTATGTTCACACTAGCCTTGTGTGCAGGCGGCAGAGAGGCGTTTGGGAAGCGTTTTTTTACCGCTTCCCAAATGCCTCTGCCAATTCTGCACATTACAGCACATGGTGCTGTTCTAATGGGAGCGTTTGCGTCGCGGCAAAACGGACGCCTCTGGTCGAGTCAGGAGGCTTTGAAGCCTCCTATTCTCATCTATGGTGCCGCTCCGCAAACGCCCAGTCGGCGTTTGCGGTGCGGTTGCGATGCGATAACACCACTCAAACTGTATTATAGGCGTTTGTGGGGCGTTATTAACGCTCGGAAAATGCCTAGCAACCGCCACTAAACCGCGCATGCAGCGTTTGCGGAGCGTTAAAAAACGCTCCGCAAACGCCGGACCAACGCTTGCCAAACGCTATAGGGGCGTTTGGCAAGCGTTGGTAAAACAGCCAAGTGTGAACGAGCCCTAAGCAAGGGAATATCCTAAATGCTTTCAAAAGAAGATTGCTGGAGAACTGAGAAACCCAAAAGCAAGTCCCACGGCAGCAACGGAAAATGCACGGGGGTGTTATGGCGAACCCCATGGATAAAGATGCGAATCAAGGAATGCTTGGCCAAAGGGTGCTAAAAGAAAACAGCAAGTGCAGAGACCTGACTCTTAACAGTACAAAAGGCAAGTTTGTGGTCAATGCCCATCAAAGAAAGGCCAACACTTGAGCCACCGAGGAGGAGCTAGGATGGAACCCCAAAGCCTTGCTCCAAATGATGTAAGATTTCAAGGTGTGATGATAAAGCATCCTGGGGGTAGATGTATCCGTTTAGTTTATATCCCCTGAGTTAAAAGAAACAAAATATCCTTTTA